ACTCATCCGTGTTTGCCAATAACGCCGTGTAAACTCATACATAACATTTTATAACTTCATGAAAATAATAGACAGTTGATTAAAACCGGCGTTTTTATTACTACGATGCACTTTATAACCCCAAATAACAGTAAAGTGATACTAATAAGTAGTAAATATTCGTTGCTTGGATAATGAAATTTGCATCGTTAAATCTTAGTGTTATTATAATTACTAGTCATAGCTAGCTCGGTGAACATGTATACCATAATTCAAGCGCAGGATACCGACGCGACTAACCCTCCGTGGGAGTTTTTCATACTTTTACGCGCATATTTTTTGCGCCTATGTGGTTACAAAGTGAAAACGAATCGCATAATTTTCTAAGCGATGACCACGATTCCCGTGTAATATGATAATGCGATGTATAAATATTTCATGTCTAAGGATTCAATGTGATCGTTTTTGCTGCGGAACCTGTTCTACAATGCGGTGCCATGCCCGGGAGCTTTCTAGCGATATTTGCTATTATTCTGAAGACATCCGCACAGCGCATGTTGCTAAGGCGTTGTCAATGCTATTTCCGAATAATAACTAAGATTTAGCTTGGCTATTATTTAATTAAATATCCTAAACTACAAACCAAAAAGAAATTAATTATATTCTTATTCATGAACTAAACTTCGATTTTTTGTATATTCTCAAATATCAAAATAAGAATAAACAATACTCTTTCATTCAAAATGCAGCACTACGGCGGTCCAGTGTAATATCCATTTGTACGTCAATCAATATGAAGTTAAATGTTCAGCGGCAAGTAATGTTTTCTTTGAAAACCATGTTTCCAGCAATAAAATAGTTAACGGAAAGCTGTAGATTTAACCATACTACGTGCCTGCCTCACTCGTTTAGAGTCAGGCACTGAAGTTTGTTGGTAAGTACTTACCATTCATTCCTTGCATAGAGATATGGTCAGTAATGACTGGACGGCCGGCTTGCTATCGGCCAGACGCTCGTAAACACTGTTCAACACGAACCATTCGAGCACGGCTGCGAATGCAACTCAATAGACATCACGCCGAATGGCACACACTTCCTGGTAACTGGTTAACTGTCCATTAGAAACAAAATCACACTAAAACTATTTCGAACCTTTTCAAACTTTTACATAATTAGATTTCGCACAAAAACAGACATCAGATCACTGAATGCTCACCGATTTAGAGAGCAATATATTACTTTTTGCGTCTATTCGAGGGGTGCATAATAGTATCACGGGTCAGCGGTCGCTCTAATAGCTGGTGTCAGAGAACGGTCAAGTCCCAAAGGGCGAAGGGTGCATTCGATCGTGGCGCACGTTTCAAGTCATCATAATCTCATCTAGTCGGTACTACAACCACTTCGATTAATGATATATCCGGAGACGGTAATTGATTCCTGTGATTAAACGAGCTTGCGGTAAATATCTGTACTTAATAGGGTAGTGCATTAATTACATACATTATGCGTTTAGCGTTAGTGCAATTAGTAAAACAATGTTATTGCATATCGTGAGAGGTGTCAGACGCACACAGCCTGGATTGGTCGGGCGAACGGCCGGGGGCAACGATCATCGTGTGAGCGCCGCGCCCGCGGACCAACAATCGCGAATTCAACGTATGCCTAGCAACAGCCACTCACACTAACGGTGGCTGTATTTTCTTTATGCACACAGACGAAGCTGCAAGAGAGCTTTAAGCTTTGATGGACTTTGTGACATTAAAAGCCTATGGAAATGCAGCTTTTAATGACTAAAGTTGCAAAAGCTTCCCACAATGAGAGAAGGAATTCGCGTACATGTACAAGTAAGCTCTTGTTATATTTACCTGTCTACGATGCGCTTCTTCAATACTTGATATTTCGTGTAGCAATTGCAGTTACTGACAATGGAATTATAATAGGATGGTGATAAATTTTAATGTTAATTTGCGAATTCTCGGAAATTATAACGTTCGAATATAAACCCCATTCTCTGAACACCATGGAAATAAGATAATTCAGCAGAATGTGGCATAGAATTTTAACGCAAAGTAACGGTGATAACTCGTCAAGAACAGAATTACCTAAATTATTCGGTCTTCGTTGACGATACGTGCCTCCGCGCACGATCCAAAAATGCTTTCTATTTAATGTGACTACTTCTTCCACTATCCTTGTATATGTTAATATTGATGTTCAATCGTTTGTGTTGGCGACTGGCTGGAAAGACACCATCCTTTTTTAATAAGTTTTATATTTTTACAATTTGTTTTTTTTTTTCTTTTTGTGTCTTATTCTCAATTTTCTGTTACTATAGTATTATTTGCTCTGATTTGTGATTTATTATTACATAGTTCATTATTTATCCACTAGTTTCTTGTTATACAGTACCCATTCACACCAGTTATCAGTTTGAATTACTATTCAAATGAGACGATGTGAAATCAATGAAATTATTTTCAGTTTTATTTTAAACTGGATCAAATTTTACTAATATAATCGTTTCTCATATCAAATTCAATGATTCGTTACGCTCGTGAATTCATTCTACTGGAACTGAAGTAAATAAAATAACTTTATTACCTTTTCGATTGTGATATGATTAAGGATTACATTGATAGTTACACTTGCCAAATATTTTTCAAAGCTGTGATACATCTATTGTTATATAAAAGATAATGTGAAGTGTCTATCTAGCTATAGTACTTACATATAGATATGTTTTGACACAAAATTTGCGCGGGTCAACGAACCGTGAGCGCCTCATGAAGGAAACTAATATTTGCCATCTTCCTTCCCATTTCCCCGGGGAAAACAGGCTCAGCTGCGGGCTACAGCCTACGCACGACTTCACCATACCTCTGACTTAATTAAGAAAAACAAGCTCATCTCTATATCACTTTCGAAACTATACATTCAGGATAAAGTATATTAAAACACTATAAATAGTTAGATAAATATTTTGTACCTAATAACGATATTTCAATACATGTTTTATATAATGCATAATAGGTCTTTAAAGCCAAGTATTTTCTACATACATAATCTGCTTATTGTTTTATTAAACTTACATTTTATACAGATTAAACAGGTATTCATGTTGCAATTGTAATAGCTATTTAGTATGTACGAAGCGGCCCGCCTCCCGTTAATCGACCGCTACACTTCGGTGACAATTATCGCTTAATAACGATGTATTGTCGCATGTAGCCGAATCTAATAGCAATTCACAGTCATCATGTCCACGTTTTCAATGCTAATCGTTCGAATTTACGGCGCCTGATAATCGCGACAAGCGTACGTGAAGGGCGAACGCGCTCAATTTATCTGTGTAAAGTTTGAAATTAAAAATGTGTGAACTGACTAATCGATATTGGGTTATATCGCGAGCTGCTTAGAGATCCTTATCCGTCGTCGAGCAGACATCAAGATGAGAACACAAAAAAAGTGCTTTTGTACGCGAACAGCATTCGCATAGAAGGCTGAGAGCGGCGACTCAGTGCCCTCCTGTCGGATGACCTGTCGCAGGTCATCGCATCTCACATCTAGTGCGCCTCTTAGCATACTTAGCTCGGTCTGGTCGGATATTTTTGTAATGCGAAACACGGAGATCGTGACGAAGCAGATTTTTTACGGCCTTTTATAAAATGTATGATATACTTTTTAATGTTTATCGTGGCGCGTTCACTTTTTTTTCCTTAGTAAGTATGATCGCGGTAAATATGGTATTACTAAACTTTTGAATTACATTGTTAAAGTTTCTGTTATCGAATCTTTGATCCAAAGTTCGTCTTAAATTGGTGTCAATGCTCTGCGGTTGCAGTGTTCCGAAAGTGTTAGGCAACCGGGGCAGCGACCCAGCTAGCGACGCCCTTCCGATCTGATAGGCTTCGGCGGACCGGCCGCGTGCTAATTTTATCATGATCCAAATTGCTGAGCTTGTCTCAGTGAGCGAAGACTTGACACGTGAGAATTATCTTATAGGAATTTAAAGTTTTTGCTTTTTCTTTATTATTATGAACACAAGTGCTTATTATTTTTATATTTGTTTTAAAAAGATCGACATTTTAATGAAAACTCAAACAATACCTTCATTTTAAACACTCAAGCAAGTCTCAGAATGAATCTTGAACCTTACAATTTATTGTGGAAGCGTCAAACAAAACTGAAACATCTCCACTCTTCATTCTGTTGAAATTCAAGTACTATTTATCAATGAAAACATCTCAAATGAGACAATTATCTTGAGCAGGAATAATTAAGCGAAACCACACATTGTGGTTCTCTTTCCACATCCGATTCAAATTTAGGTTTATTTAAATCGGATTAACTGTTACTTTTGACGCCACACTGCTGGAACAAACGGTAAGCCGAATTATGCTTGGGAAGTAGGCCTCCATTGTACACATCAGGGGAATTGGTCTTCCCGCAGAAAAATCGGCACTAAATCACAGTGTTATATTAAAGCAACCTGTCATTTTATTGTTGTAATTTTGAATACATTTATTTTGCATACGTTCTTACTGGTTTGTAAATTGGTTATAAAAATTATAGTTTTAATGACGAAGAATCTATGAGAAAAATGTGCGAATTTATCGACGTGACAACATGAATAGCCCTCCATGTCCGGAACACGTGGTATTTTAGCAAAGCAAATAAATAGATAGTGGTGAATTGTGCACCCTCACCCTCCTGCTGAGTGCGGAGGTGACTTGCGGAGAGCGTCTAGACGGAGGGACCCTTACCGATATCCCTACATACATATTTACAAACTCTTAACAAGTGGAATTGAATTTATTGAGATTTAGAATACTTGTACGTCTTCATTTAAGAATATGCACTGTCTAAATATTTTTCGCGCAGTAATAATATAGTTGAATAAAGTAATTGAAACTCTTTAGATCTGTGTAATGACTAGTGACAATATACGGAAGGCACAAAAGGAAATAATAGAGATGTGTCCTCTAGTGAGGTGTAGTGGTGTAAGGGGAGGTTGTTGAAAAATGCGTGTAAGGTGCAGTGAGTATACATTATACGTAGTAAATTGTGGAGGCAGCGGGGTCGCGGGACAACGGAGATCGTTCCCACGGTAACGCGTCTGCATACATGGGAGTCGAGTTGCAATAATTCGCTCCATAACCTACAAATATTCCAGTGGAAGTCATAAATATCAACACCATCATTCGCGTGTACATTGATTCTGATAATTAAAGGGATTTAATAGCTTTATTGTTTGCAAATTCAATCATCAAAAGAAATGTAATGTATTCTTTGGTCTTTATCTAATATTATATCTCTCAAATTTTCATCGATTTATTATGTTTCATAAATTCATCACCAGTCGCGTTATATTTAGTTCTATTTAATAACATATAGAAATGGAATGTTATTCCTGATTTGGAATATTAAATTTACCTTCTTAATTTATTCCTAACATATATTGTAAATTGCCTGTAAGTCCAAGAAATTCGTTTACGGTTTCACTTGATTTATTTCAAATTTTATCGAAATAACGACCTCCGTAGCCGAGTGGTTCTCACGCCGGTTTCAAGGTGTCGCCATCTCTGAGGTCCCGGGTTCGATTCCCGGTCGGGTCAATGTAGAATATAAACTTTTCTATATTGACTCGGGTTTGGGTGTTGTGGTACCTTCGTTGTCTCAGATACTCCATAATACGGGAGCTTCAGCTACTCATCTTGGAATCTGAGCAATGTATGTGATGTTGTTAAATATTTATTTAAAAAAAAAAAAAAAAAAAAAAAAAAAAAGTAATTTCAGTATTCCATTTTATAACATTCCATATTTGATTACTATCCTCTATTCATAGCTATAACTATGTTGTATTAGGAATAAAATCAACAAATAAACAAGTATGTATAAAAATAACTATCAATGAGAGAGTAAAGATTATTACACAAACACTAACCTTTGATAGACAAGATACATTGCTGCTGCTTCACTAACATATCTTTAATATATATAAATATATGTATAAAAGTATAGTCCATAACGTTAGTTTTAAATTCTAGGTTTCACTTTCCTATTGGTTCCTAGGAAACATTTAAATATTGCTACACTGAAAACCCTTTAGAAGTGACTACATTGTTTTGAATGTTGACCGCGTGCGGTCGCTGAATAGACTGTTAAAGTCGCTATTCACTCAAAAGTAAACAGGCACATTTTTGCGTTTCCGCGTTCCTGAATGCGAGGGCCCGCACGACGACCGTGTGCTCACCTTATTACCTCATTGTTTACTGTGAATCAAACCTACCCGAACATAACTTTACCGTAAATAAATATTACCGTTTCAAATAACTCCCTGTTTCGTATTAAATCTCCGAGACGTCTCAATAAGTAAGATATAAAAGATAGATATAAAAGTAGCTCGGTGGCGTAGTGGTTAAGCGCCGCGGCCCGCGATCGTAGTCGTTAAGCAACTTTCGCAAGGGTCGGTCACGGGATGGATGACCAAAAAATTATTATCAAGAATTAAGAAGGCACGTTAAGCCGTTGGTCCCGGCTGCATTTGCAGTCTTTAATACCCTCCAATCCGCATTGGGCCAGCGTGGAGAGTCATGGCCTATCCTCCTTAACCATCCATAAGGAAGGCCTGAGCCCCTGCAGTGGGGACGTAAAAGGGCTGGTGATCAAAAGATAGATTAGATTATAGCAGAGCTTCGCTGCAATTTGAAATAAAATCAACCCCTTTTTTAAGTGCATTTAGATTTATAAATTATTACGTTAATATGTGAAACAAAATCTTGGAACTCATTTTACGAAAGTTGTGCTGATTGGTAGAAAAATTATATGTAGAATTGTGAAATGCTGCTTTTTATAATTATGCTTAAAATATACAATCAATAAAATAATACACAAACTACCATAAAAAAATATTAGAAATACTACCATGCGCAGGACTTTTTTGTTTACTCAATATCTAACAATCTTAAAAGAGTATCTTTTTAAGATATTAGAAAGACATTAACTTCTAGTAAATTTGTCCAAAGCAATTTGATATCTATTACTTTGGACAAATGTATTATTATTTACTGATGTTTGGTTTCTAAAACGAATAATCAAATGCTCAAAATAATACGACTAATTTGTATTCGCATTGTTCTCTTCAGAGGTTTAAAAGCGAAGAAAATAATAAAAGCTAATAAAAATGACACGTATATTGGCCGTGTCATACTCCGCAAATCCACGCATCCGGTACTAAGAAGTTTGTGTTCAAGTGCGAATATACAGAGAATGAAGAGCGGACGCACACATTTCCGATCCCTCCGAGCACTCCGACACGCGTCGCACAGCACAGCCTCACCCCTGCGGCGAAACAAAACTCACACATACACAATGACACATATTATAAACTATTTTACTACACATTCACACCACTGTTTAGCTTAATTTATATGACAAACACAATACCTTGAAATATAGGTTAAATTTTTTATCGGCATTAATCATTTTTTTACGGGACCGAAGAGGATTTCATAAAATACGAGCTAGCATTTTAGTATTCCCTTGATAGTGTATTTTGCACTTACCGCCTCTTATTTACGATCTAAGTGATATATTATTCGTTGTTTACTTAACATAGCGAATAATGCTTTATCCTAGCTAGTGAAAATATAGTGCTATTTTTATAGGTAGAGATCAGTTTAATCACACGGGTAAAGCATAGCCAAAAATAAGCAAAATAAAAAATGATTGCATCCAGGGTTTATTACTTGTATATCCGCCATATATGTATAACCTCGTTAGTCTATTTTATATATGCACTGTTTTCGGTTCTATATTACTTACAAGAAATAAAAAATACATATTGATTAACTTTTAACATTATTTATATCGATCATTACACCTTATAGTCAATGCGATTAAGTAAGTCTTAACATATTTTTTCTTATCTCGACAAAAACCAAACTTTTTATATTTATTATATTGTTATTTATTAATTTTATAAGAACTTACAAATTTTGCGGCTTTTGTAAACTCAGTCAGAGCACAACCAAATATGTTAATATAATTAGCTACCATATTAATGATACATACATACAGCGCGTGTAAACGCAGCCTCCTTTATCATGTTCACGCGTCAATTACAACCGTCTCAAGTGCTTGAGACGCGATTTAAGCATGTACATCTCATGATTCTTAATTTTTCTAATTTTTCAACTTTTTTTTTTAATAAATCTTATTATTGTTTCAGACGGGCGTCGTCAGATGGATAGGCGGCGCGCGGCAGGGGCGCTGCTCGCGCTAGCCGTGTGCATCGCGAGCTCAGATGCAGGTAACTACATAAATTCTGATATTTTTTTTCCCTATGAACACTTAGTCTTATTATTAATCGTATGGAGACTTTTATCTGAAGTATGTCTTAACCCGATAGGAAATAATCCAATTGTGCAAATTCATATATTAAATTAATAATTAAATTGTATTTTTGGTGGGTAAATAGGCAATAAATATCAATCTTATAGATACATCAATGTTTAAAATTGATTCAAACTTTTATAGTGTTTACGTAAAAGTATAAAAATACCATTATGATAAATAAATTTCAATATATAATTTGATATCATTTTTACTCGACACTCATGAATTGCAAATCAACGGCTAAACATAACAGTATTTTTTTCTAACTGTGTAGAAATATAATGATGTAACAAATTGACGTTGTTCTTATTCGATTCATAATTTCTTATTATTGTTAGTATACTTATAATGGTGGGTGAAATAAATACTGTCTACCATTTTGTTAACTCGTGACCCGAAATATGTGATTGTATGAAGATACTAGACGCTAGCCGCCGCTTCCGCTGAAGACGTAATATAGTTATATTTTGATATTTATCTTTTAAATCAAGAATTATTTCCTAAATCTTTGCAGACATGTAAGATTACTGATTGGTTTAAAGTAATTAAAAACTATCTACTAAAATAAAAAACTATATACTAAAATTACTTAATTCACTTTATTTGGTCAACTTTTGCATTCACAAAAAATATTCTTAAACGCTTAAAAATCTGCTTTGTCCCTGGCACTCTGAGATAGGACTCGAACCTTTCGCAATCCGGATACTGCTCAAACCACTGAGCTACTCAGGACCTAACAGGACTGACGAATTTTTCAAGCACTTGGCGTTTTTTGGCTAATACAGAGCGTATTTTCATCAATGTTCAGGCAATTCACCCGAACAGCCGAAATAAATATTTTGACAAAATGGATTTTTTATGCATTTCTTATTAAGAATAAATTAATTTAATAATTCTGGAGACTTCATCCACTCAGAATCTAGGCTAGTTATTGTCTATTGATTTTATTGTAAAAATATGAAAGCTTTTTGTTTTTTCTTCCCCAGAATTATTTTTATACCAAGTCATCACCATGGTCATAACAGGCAAACAGAGTTTCTCGTATAGCCAGTATTATAATTATTATATTAGCATGTACACATACATACTTTTATATACCTAATCATATAAAAAATATTGGATCAAAAAACTACAACGATTAAATTCTAGGTAGGATTCATCCGACAAGGAAGCTTTTACACCACCATTATTCAGCATTATAAACGAAGCTACTGAAACATCCGGCTTTACTATACAATCAGATTTTATTAGCGCAATTAATCTAAGTTAGATCATCAAACTTCGGTTCCTCACATCAAAGTAACTTAAATAATTAGTTTAATAAAAAGTTAAATATCAGATTTCAAAATTATGAGTATAATATTTGATTAAAACAAATAAGTTTGAAAGACTTTTTAATTTCATAACGTGACGATGACATAAACTCTTTTAGACAAGTGACAGTAAAAGCGATGGCGGAAAATGGCTTTCATAACACAAAAATAAGGTCGATGTGTCAGTGTCAATATAAAGCTGCTGGATGTGACAAAGTTCATTCACATCTGATTGTATAAATATATTTGGTTATAATATATTTTTTATGAGATAGAATTCAGCATAATTTTACGATAACATTAAACTAACATTCTATATGTAAACTTATCAATAGAATTCTCATTATGAATGTTAAATATTTTATACTTTATTATTGTTTATTCAGTGATCCACCAGAGATATAATTCGTACGCACCTATGTTTTTAAGTCTATCTGTCCACATCATTAATTTATAAAAAATAATCATTAATAAACACTCAATATTTTATGAAATTTTGATAAATTTTGCATTCACAATAGCATACTGACAAAAATATCAAAAATACTTAAAAAGTTTACCTGGGCTGATGATTTTTTAAGTATTTTTCGTTAAAGATAATCACAATTTGACCTTAAATATTACGCTTAAAAGAAATAATATCGTAATCATTACATTTAATACATTTTTCATTAAAGACGATACCGTAACGTTAATAATAATAATTAAATTGACTAAGGGGTAATATTATACACTTATAACTATTATTTAACTACTTACACGTAATAATATACTAACTGAATTCTCGTTTAGATTTTACAGCCTTGAAGCTCGCGGTGCAATTTTAGCTCATGGCCAAAACTGGTTCCGAGGGTATTGATCTCCTATTGACAGATTTTAAACTGTCAATCATTAGCTGTTGAACTTGCAATGCAAAATTAACATAGAATATATTTTATCTTACTATTTCTCAAAATTTACATTCAATTGATATGACAAAGAAAAAGATATACCGAAATACACAGTTAGGCGAATAACGAGTTAATATATTCTAACTTATCAATCATCATTTAGAACATAATTAACAAATGAAAGGTAGGCAATACATAAGATGAATCATTTTATTCAAACTGCATACTTATCTGACGCTCATTCCAATAAGTGGAATGAATCAGCGTAGATTTGATTTGCGGTGATAACAAGGATGCGGTCACGTGATCGTCCCGCGTCCCGAACGCGGCCGTCCCGTGTCCCTCGTGACTCAGCAGCGCCGACTGGAGTCGGACTGGTCGTTGTCCCACTAACTGTAAAGGTCCGAGCGTATCTTTACCGCAGTGCATGCTGTTAGATGATGCTATTTTCGTCTGCAATCCAATTTAATACCCTCTACACGGCGTCTTCAAAGAATTCCAATTGAATTTACGTTATACATAGGAAGTATATTTAAATGAGGCCTACAATGTTTAGGTCCACCGTGTGAACTTCATCAAGAATGGCGACCACGGCTACATTCATTCATTGAAACGACAATCCATATTAATGTAGTGCAAATTTTAAATTCATGCTACCGCCTCATTTCGATTGCCTGGGCTCTTGTTCCTAAGCGCACGATTTTGCATTAAGTAGTTTTTTGTTCATGCAAAGCCATTTATAACGTCACACTTAAACGTTATTCATTAGGTATCCTGGGAATTACGAGGATGAGAACATACGTCACAAGCGTGCTTAGGAATTTTTATTCGAGTGAAGCATGTCATTCGATTAAAAATGTATTGTTCGTCATATATATGAACTCTGGTTAGGTAAAGACTGAAACAGAGTTACATAATTTATTAACTTCCTATATTTTCAGTTACTAGAATTCATCTTAAGTGAATTCACTTTTGTAGTTTCTTTAAATGTACTAGCTTATATCTCAACAAAACTACGGAAATAGTGAGTTTTCCCGTTACGGTCATAATTTTGGTTTTATGGGCGGTTTCCGACGCGAGAGTGGAACATTATAATTGAAATCACGATTGGCAAAAACTGGATGCTAACGACATTCCTGGCGACCGTTAGATGGACGATCTGGCGGTGCAGGCGCAGCTCGGGCGCCTAGCACGAGCCATATACAGCGGTGAGACAAGAGGCTCGCCCTAACGGTGCCGACCACTTTGATAAGCCCAAACACACCGCACTACCAAACGTGATCAATTGCGCAAACCTTTAACCGCAAGAGTAAGTTTCATGCACCGAGAACCCTGCCGATAGCATACACTGCTACCGCAACGATATCGCAGATTACTAATAGTGCAATATGTTCCACATTAGTCATAATAAAACAGTGTTTTGTAATGAGATTTTGTTAATTTATGTCACCGAATCATAACGATTGAAAATATTAAATAAGAATGATTTAACTCGATAACAATATCGACAATGGTATGTGACTTTAAGGCTAGGTGTAGTGCGATGCTCCTACGCATACTAATTCGTATCGGCAGTGCTAAATCGTATCGAAGAATTTGTCTTTCGATAATATTCAACCACAGAAAAAAAATCAAAGGAGAGTTCACCTGAAAGACAGTGTCAGTGTCGAAGTAAACAAAGGCATGGTTCGTTAGTTCGGACAGTAGAAGAAAAAGTACAGCGCAAAATCGGAAGAGTGCCGAAGACTCACCATCCACGATCAAACTAATCGCGTATTATCGATATCAAAAGTCATAAAAAAATTAAATGTATGAAAATAGTGTGTAAAGTGCGAAGTATAAAGTGCGCGTATGCCTAAATGCCGCAATGCTTGCTGCCAGCTTTAAGATATTGAAAAAATCAAGTAAATCGAGATTTTAGTTGTCAATATGAACTCCCCGGCTCAGATAGAATTGTAATCGACAAATGAATGTTTTTGAAATCAGTTTCATTTTATTAGTTATAAAAAAAAAGTGTTAGAGATATATAAAGAATATGTTAATCACATGAGTGCAAAATACGCAATATTTTGCTTTCTACGATGACATTAGTATGTGGTCGTAGAATTTTCATTATTAAGCAGAACGCTTCCAGTTATTTTACAAATAAACTACCACCGCCAGAGGTACTTTCGAGTAAAAATTAAAATGAATATAATGAAATCAAGAATTCGCGGAAAAATCGATGAACGTTCATATATTACATAAAAAGAACGGCAAGTTCTACATACCCATCGAATGAAGAACTTGCCGTGTTCTACCTAAGAGTATTCTACAATCGAATAAAACTTTTCTGTAGATTCGTTGGTGATATACATAAGCCAGAATACTTTTCCACTAGAACATAAAGTATTATTTTAGCTTCTCTTCAGTACGTTATAATGGCGGACTTTTTGATCAAAATAAGAGAAAACTTCTTTACATATAAATCTACATACATATATATATATAGGTATATTAGTGTATAATTGTTTTAAAAAATATTAAGAATCATTTTATAATGATAATGACTTTTCGGCAGCATTTATAATTTCTCTATTACTAAGACTTGTCTGTCACCAAGCTGTATCACATGAACGGTGAAAATTAGACAGTTGTATTTTTCACAGACGATATACTTCTGCTTCAACAACTATAGGATAAAATACAGTAGCGTTATCTAGTGCTTAGTAGAGGCAGTGAAATATAAAATTTTAATGTACTTTATCAATATAACATATACATTTAATATAGGTGACAAAAATTGTACCGATTAAATAATTCAGAACATGATTTTATCCTGCGTAAACAGCTTAAATCACATAATAATGGATTTGGAAAAGGATGACATGGAATATTATTAAAATGACTAATTGAATTGTTAACAACGTAACCTATGGTAACGAATTTAATGCCCTACACGAACTTCGACTCCCATTTTCATCCTTTTATGTGCTTTTTTCCGAGATAACAAATAAGATAGACATATGCTGCCGCAGACTTTTTTTAGAACTTTTAAAGAGGATCAATTTAAAGAGGATTTTTGAGTTTTTCACCATTTACATAGCGTACGTATGGAAAGCTTTAAAAAAGTAAAATATTCTGCCATTTTTGTAATATTAATCATCTCTGCTCCTCTCTTATAAGTCATATCGTGATGTTATATAGCCTATAGCTTTCCTCAATAAGTGGACTATTCAACACAAAACAATAATTCTATTCGTTCCAGTAGTTCCTGTAAATTTAGGGGTCAATCAAACAAACAAACTGTTCAGCTTTATTATTAGTATAGATTTGATCAATTTTGCATTTACAATACTATACTGAAAAATATTCGTAATGAAAAACAGAACCTAATTTTTTGAGCGCTTGTTACTCTGTAGTACAGAGCGTATATTCATCATCATCACATCATCACCAGCCCTTTTACGTCCCCACTGTAGGGGCTCAGGCCTTCCTTATGGATGGTTAAGGAGAACAGCTGAAATAGATATTTTTATAAATATTTAAACTTTCTATAAAGATGAAAATTTGTAAAATAATAAAAAAATTATATATAATAAATATTTAATCAATTTGTTCATGACCTTTCGCAAATATTTTTCATTAAGAATAATCATTTTATTATTTTATAGAACGAATTTATATTTTTTATTTTCACAAATTTTTGATATAGTGAGGTTTTACGCTTATTTCTCTCTAGTCCATGTTTAGAATAAATTTATTCAAAAAATGGTTTACAACAAACTTACTTTGAGACAGTCTTAGCTGATATAGCTTCAATGTCACATATTATTAAGTTACAAAACGTATGTATAAAGGTTAAAGCAATGTCTAACCGCAGGCGTTAAGAAAACGGTATATTTATGCTAGTGACTTAGTAATCGATTATATACAAGAGTTTCCTCCCGGCGTTATGACTTATGCCCTAAGTATCGGATCGCGGTGCTCCAACCCAAAGTTAACGATACACTCCGTTACTTTAATTACAGCTTTGTCGCTTTCGCCGCCACATTCAGTAATTATACGCAGTAAAATGGATATGTGAGACAACTTTAAGACGATGACCGATCGGAGTTATGGCGATTTGCAGCCAATATCCTGTTCAGCTGTGTTATACTTAATAAGTGAACCATAAAAATAACATTAACTATTTCTAAGGAAACTTTTAATAGCTCTAGTTTAATGTGTACAAATTTTAAAGATTTCTTTTACGAACTTTTCATATTATTTAAGTACGAAAAACGGATAAAAATATGTCTATATTTGATGCATATTGAGCATGTTAAAGAGTATAATGTGTTCACTTCGCGGCTCATTTTAAGTTGGCGTGAAAACCAATCACGTAGCTATGGCGAGGCACGCCATTCTGCGTAGAATGCGTAGGCGTAAATAATTAATACAAGTCTACTACGCTTATAGCGATAAAGAATTATGAAAATCTTTGATTTGTTTGCATTTTGATTAGCCTGAAATATATCTCATTCAACTTTCACTCATAGGGGTTTTATTTATATTTTCAGCTCCGACAGCGAGCAACCAGACGGCACTGGATTTATATGAGGGTACGTTATGTAATAGAAAATACTAGAAACTTTGGTGTCTTAAGAATTTTATAGATGGAGCAGTTATAAAAAAAAACCTAAAATTTAATTATTTACATAATAAAATTTATTATAATTATGAATAATTTTCAGATAAATTAAAAGCCAAACTTATGTTATTTCAGGTGCATCTGAAGGCTGTTATTACAATTTTCAACATTATGGTGAAGGAGATCGGATAATGACAAACGAACCGTGCTTAAACTGCACATGCCATAACCGAATGCTTATGTGTTATTTGAGAGTTTGTCCCTTCACCAAACCCATAGGTCAAGATTGCACTGTTGAAAAGAGGGCAGACCAATGCTGCCCTATCGTCACCTGTCCAGATGGTAAGACTTCTGAGCATTACAAAATACATTAATTTTCAAAAATTACAATTAATTATGTGGAAAACATGTACTCAGTCACCAAATAATAATTATTTCTTTTTTGTCACAGTTCCAGTCGATCTATTAACATCGACATCGACAACATCACCAGCGGAATATGGCGGTACCGGCGTTGGCAAACTCGATAAGTACGGCTGTAGTATCAATGGAAAATACTTCCCAGAGGGCTCAAAGGTGCCACCGACTCCGAACAAACCCTGCGAACACTGCTACTGTATTCGAAATATGACGACTTGCGTTATGCAAGAATGTACACTACACGTAGATGGGTGCACTCCAATCTACCACAAAGATGTGTGCTGTCCCGTCCGTTACTCATGTGGTAATTAAATTAAATTGATAATTTTTAAATCAATCAAATGAATAATAACCAGTGACATAACAATTGTATATAGGTATGTAATATAATGCAACTGAAATTATAATTTTCAGATCACCCAGAGGATGAAATGTTACTTCTAGATGACATGACTACTACCGTAAGACCAACACCTGGTTTCTTACTCACCACCACAACACTGTCTCCCGTTACACAAATGTCTCAAGACTGCGTACATGAAGACAGAATTGTTCCGGATGGTGCATTAATTAAAACGGAAAAAGCATGTGAACATTGCTACTGCATGAAAGGTGACATAGTGTGTGTTGTTCAGGAATGTGGAACACCAATGGAAAACGAAGGTAAAAATTGCACTTCACAACCACCAAGAGAAGGTCAATGCTGTCCAGATACTTATATTTGCGAAGGCGATGACGTTAGCACGGAAGTGCCTACTGAATTTACCACTGCACCTTCTGAGCCAGAAGAAATAACTACATTATCACCACCAAGAAGAGTGGGAGTTGAAGGTAGTGGTTATAGAAAAGAAACTGAGGAATCTTACACCGAAATGCCACTATTTGAAACAGAAACTGAAGGAAGTGGATATGATCACGAAATAGGACCTAGTATAGATAGTTCTTCAGAAAAACAAACGTCTGATATAATACCTGAAACTACAGAAGACATTCTATATATTACTAGCAGTACTGCAAAAACACCTACATTGGAAGAAATTGAAAAAAGCACAGAACCTGATAAAGGACTTAATACAGTCCCAAGTGGCTTGTTTGATGACGAAACTTCTGAAACGCCTCTGCAAACGACAGTTTTTGAAGCAGAGAAAATAACAGAATCATCGGGAATAAGTGAAAAAGACACATCTGAAGATAACACCGTTGTTCCAGAATTATTCACCTCGCATGAAATAACAAATAAACAAGAAGTGGTTACAACCACTGTAGAATCAGTATTTAGAAAAGAGGATGAAATTAATGAAGTAACTGACCGTTATGAGCATACTGAACCTGAAAAGACTAGTACCCCTCATATTGAAATGGTTGAATATACAACAAGTCTCTTTGAACATGTTACGTCAGAAACAAACGCGCCTACAGATGAAAAATTGACGACAGAAATGCCTATTATTAAACCAATTGAAGAAAAAGAAACCACCACACATTCATTTATTGAAATAAGCACATCTGCGGGAACTAGTAAGCCATTAAGGGAAGAAGAAGTTATATATGAAACCACTTCATATACACAAGCTACAACACAAGGGTTGTCGGAAGATTCTTCAGAAGAAGAACATACCCATGATAGCGACGATATAACAAAACAGAAAGAAGCTACTACTGCATTATTATTGGAATCATCAACACCTGTGAACAAAGCCGATGATGAGGATACAATGAAAGAATCAGATAAAACAACTGAACATCATATAGATATTTCTACCCCCGCTGAACCAATGAAACCATCGGATGTTATTGACGAAGTAACTGAAAAAGTAGACTCCACTAAATCTTCTGAGGATAGCGATAAAACCGTGAAAGAAAAAGAAAGCTCTACAACAATACCATCAGAAACTGGATTCACATCTACAGAAACTAAAGAAACAAGTACAGAGTCCTTACTAGAAGTCTCCACTCATGTAGCTACTAGTAAACACTCAGATGAGGTAAGTAGTGAAAGTATAATGAAAGATAAAGAAGTAACGACAGAATATTCATTAGAAATTGCAACATCAGCTAAAGAAACGAAACCTTCAGACACACAAACTACTACAGTGACAGATGTTTCTGACCAAATAATAACCACGACAGACAAAACAAGCCTTTTGGAAACAACAAATATTGACAACCAAGAAAATGAAGTCGAAGGTTTTGCTAGGATTCCGGGAGAAGGTGACTGCTTGTTAAATAGCATAACATATAGAAATAACAGTAAAGTACCAAGTACTAACAATTGCCATACTGACTGTAGATGTGTTAGCAGTATTGTGAAATGCGATCCAATAATCTGTAGTCCACCACCCGAATACATGGATAACTGTCAACCAACATATGATTCGCCCGATTCTTGTTGCCCAACATACATATGTCATACTGGAGAGACAATGCCACCTCAACCCGATAGCCATATGTCTGGCACAGATAAACCAGTTCCATCTTCTACAGCTGAATGTCATGGTGAAGAGTGTGTACTAAAACAAGGTGACGACACTTCTGCATCTAGTGAAAAACCTGCAGTCGGTGAATGTGGCATGGCTGGATGTGATAGTGATATTAAAACTACACCTGAATGTCATGGTGAACAGTGTATAGTAAAACAAAGTGAAGAATCTCCTGTAATTAGTGAAAAACCTGCAATCAGTGATTGTGGCCCTAATGGTTGTGGTGATAATATTCAAACTACACCTGAATGTCATGGCGAAGAGTGTATAATTAAACAAGGTGGAGAAACTCCTGTAACCAGTGATAAACCTGCAGTCAGTGATTGTGGTCCTGCTGGTTGTAGTGATGATAGTCAAACTACACCTGATTGTCATGGCGAAGAGTGTATAATAAAACATGGCGAGGAACCTCTTGTAACAAGTGAAAAACCTGCAGTCAGTGATTGTGGCCCTGCTGGTTGTGATGGTGATGTTAAAACTACACCTGAATGTCATGGCGAACAGTGTATAATAAAACAAGGAGAAGAATCTCCAGTAGCCAGTGAAAAACCTGCAGTCAGCGATTGTGGCCCCGCTGGTTGCGATGGTGATATTCAAACTAAAATTGAATGTGACGGTGATGAGTGCACAATAAAACAAGGTGAAGAATCTCCTGTAACAAGTGAAAAACCTGCAGTCAGTGATTGTGGCCCTGCTGGTTGTGGTGATGATAGTCAAACTACACCTGATTGTCATGGCGAACAGTGTATAATAAAACATGACGAGGAGCCTCTTGTAACTAGTGAAAAACCTGCAGTCAGTGATTGTGGCCCTGCTGGTTGTGATAGTGATGTGAAAACTACACCTGAATGTCATGGCGAACAGTGTATAATAAAACAAGGTGAAGAATCTCCAGCAGCCAGTGAAAAACCTGCAGTCAGTGAGTGTGGCCCCTCTGGTTGCGATGGTGATATTGAAACTAAACTTGAATGTGTCGGCGAAGAGTGCACAATAAAACAAGATGAAGAATCTCCTGTAACAAGTGAAAAACCTGTGGTCAGTGATGGTGATCTTCAAACACATCCACATATTTCTTCCGCTGAAAAGGACTCTACTGAAAGTGACTGTGCTGGTGAAAATTGCCAAGCAGCGTTGCCAACAAAACCGTGTGATGGTAAAAATTGTGATATTGAGCCGGTTCTTATACCAGTCAAAGATATATCACTATGTCAAAATAAAGATGATTGTCAACCACAAGTTATTCCCTGTGAAGGAGAAACATGTAAACCAGCCGATTGTAACACTGCTGATTGCAGTCCAGGAACAGTTCCTATTTCACCACCAATTGAAAAAGATCATATCATACCAGGAATTTGCTCTGATAAGGACGATTGTCAAAAACAAGAAGATGAGCCAAAACTACCCTGTACTGAAGACTCTTGTAGAAGAAAAGATACTGGAGGGGAGCTGGAAACTGTACTGCCCATTGATTGTACCAGTGCTGAATGTAAAGAACAAAAACCAGAAACTGATGGCGAAAAAGTAGAAAGTGAAACTGAAACGCAAACAGAGCCAGAATCACTGAAACCGATTACTCCAGAGGGCATGCTACAACAGACCGAAAAATCACCAACAGATATTCAAACAGAAACTTCAACTAATAACGAATTACCGGAAACAATAACGGAATCACAACAAAAAACTTCGTCAGAGGCTCCTCAAGAAACAAGTACAGATGCAACAAAGGCTGAAGAAGAAACGTCGTCAAAGGCTCCTCAAGAAGTAATACCAGAGATAACAAAAGTACCAGAGGAAATTCCATCCAAGTCCCCTGAGGAAACAAAGACAGAGACCACTCAAGTACAAGAGCAGACAACGTCAAAGTCTCTTCAAGAAACGGAATCATTCCCTACTGATGTTTCAATAGAGACTTCGACTATACATGATTCACCTGGACTAATAACAGAAACAATGTCACAAGAAGAAACATCATCATCCCAGTCTCCTCAAAAAGAAGAAGAATATCCTATTGATATTACTACAAAGATATCATCTGAACACATGCCGACTGAATCAACGACAGAACCGTTAATAATAGAAGAGGGTACACCACAAAAGTCTCCGCATACAGAAAAATCGCCTACAGAGAATGAAGAAGTAACGCTATCTTCTGAATCATTGTCTACAATCGCACCAAGTTCTGAACATAGTTCTCAACCAACAGATTTCACACTAAAAATATCAGAACTCACCACAGAAAACGATGAAATTGTAACACATACTGAACCTACAACACAATTTGAGCACGTCACTATTTTACCTCAACCAAGTGTAACTGAACCTAAGCCTCGAGAAGAATCTACACATATCAATCAAGAAATAGATATAGCCAAATTAACAACCGTTTCTGATGAAGAACAATATACTACCAAACCGTCTGAACAAAAAGTTACAGAAAGAGAAAAACCTGAAACCATTATAACTCAACTTCCAGAAGCATTTGAAACTGCAACTGAATCTCAACAAACCTCAATAACTGAATCTCGAGAAGTTACAACTGTATCAAGCTTAGATGCTGCAACTGAAACATTTGAACAAACTGGCCCTACAGAAGGTCTGAAAAGCACAGACGTGCCTCACTCTATGACTACAGCAACCGTAGATAAACAAAGCTCAGAATTGCCAGAATACATAACACCTGAATCACAAGAAGGTATCGAAACAACATCATCCACTTTAGAACAAGAAGTTACCGAAGGTTCAAAAATACCTGAGACAGAAAAAGAAACTCTGTCACCTGTACAGCATATGCCGCAACAACCAGATGAAAATACTACTGAGAAACACGTTTCAGCTACTGATACAAGTCATAGTAGTACTCTCTCACAAGAAACTGTTACATCTGCATACTTACCTTCAGATGTTGCAAGTAGTTCTATAAACCAAGAAGACGATAAGACAACATCAGTGTCCCCACAAGAATCACATTCACAAACTATAAAGACAGTTGAAGTTACTGAAAAGAGTACTTCTATTACTGAATCTCATGGTGACATCGTAACAACAGATGAAACCAAACAAGAAGATAAGGAAAGTACTACAGAATCCGTATTAACTAAAGATGAAGAGGAACAAACCAAAGCACCAGTTACTAATGTACCGAAATTGCCTGAAGATATAACAGCAACAACCACTGAAGATTTTGTAACTATAAAATCTGAAATGATAATACCTGATAATCAAAAAGAAATTGAATCTTCAGAAACCCCCGTAACAATATCCGATGAAATGAGTACAACTAGTAAAGATATACCAGTTACAGATAAATCCACAAAAGAAACAGACTTATACACAACTAAAAAATATAGTATGGCTCCTACAGAATCTTCATTTACGGAACAAGACAAACAAACTGAGTATCCTATATCTTTATCATCAGAACCAACAAAAGAGGGTTCGAGTACTTTGATGTCCACACTATCAGATAGTGAAACAGTAACTTCAAAATCACCTGATGTCACATATGGTCCAACAGAAATTTTAGTAACTACTGAAGTTGAAGAAGTAATAACCACTGAAAAAGTTCTTGTAAGTGAAGCCACAGATTTACCTTTACCTTTCGATGAAGACGTCGGTACAAAACAACCAATTCCCGATATTACTGAAAGAATAGAAACTATCAAAGAAGAATCAACCACAGCAGTTGTAAAAGAATTGACAGAACAACCAACTGTTATTGCTGAAGATGACTTTAGAACCAACGAACCTCCACGTGTGACAGAGAAGGTTATGGACGTAGAACAAAGCGCATCAACAGAGAAGTCGACAGTAGATTTTAAGGAGTCGCTTGCAACTACAGAACAATCAGCACAATCATCTAAGCCTATTGATTCGGAAACAACCACTGCTTCAGTTTCAGTACAAGATGGTGCAACTGAAATTTCTCAAATGGAATCTGAATCTACATTAACGGATCACGAGAAAGTAACAGAAAAAATGCCTGAGCAAATAGATGAGAAAGAAGAGAAACCAACTGAATCACCTGTACAAACATACACGGAATCACAAGATTTTGAAACCAAAACGTCGAGTGTAGATATAGTAACACCGATACCAGAAGACTCTGGTAAAGAAACAATTTTACCTGAAATTCCCGATGAAAATCCAGTGACAGAACGCGAAGTTATCAAAAATGAAAAGTCTCCATCTACAGACAAAGATATGCTTTACTCACCGACAGAAATTCCAGATCAAGTTGTTACCAAAGAGGATATAGGAACAAAGACTCCGGAAAATCTTTTTACTGATAAAGATCTACCGTTTGTAACGCAATCAGAAGATGAAATAACCAAAATATATACTGAAGAACCAGAAACTTACACCGAAATTCCTGTGTCAGTTACTGAACAAGAAAAAGAAAGCGAAACATCAAGCATCTCAGATTCGGAACCTGAAATCAAAGAGCAAACACAGGAACCTTCTCTAAGTAATGTCACTCCCACTGTTATTATTGATGTCGAAAAAGAACCTACTCAATCAGTTATTATTCCATCTGAAATCAGTACAAAATCCCCCGCAATGCCTGAATCACATGTCAAAGAGGAGGACCAAGGTATGCACACGTCTGTTACTAGCCCTATTCATATTCAAACTACTCCATTACCAGAAGAAGTAACTCATACGACGATATCAGAATTACAAACTGAAGAGCTATTAGAAGTTACTAAAAAACCGCAAGAATCAACTATAGATCCTCATGCCAAAATAACAGAATTAACTTCTGAAAGTGTTACTGACGCGGTTCAAAAAGAGATTATAACTGAAAACCCACTCGACTACACAACAGCTGAAATTTCAGAAATTACATTAGTACCGCTACAAGACAAAACAACTTTACAAACTGATGAAATAATCACAAAATTGCCCGATGAAATTGTTTCACAAGAACCGCAAGTTCCGGTTACTGATAAATATCCAAAAGATACTCCTGTGGAATCTCAAACTGAAACAAGTACAAGCGATAAAGAAATTTCCACAGAAAAGGCTCAGAAACCATTAGACACAGACACAATGACTTATGAAGAAAAAACAACACAGCAACCTGAAGAAGTTGTTACTGATGTTGGTCAAGATAAGGTCACCATGTTAATCGAGGAGACATCTAAGGAAGGATTAACAGGATCCATCGAAGTAACAACAAAATCAGTTATTGACAGCGAAGATATACTAACTAAAGGACCTGAAATTACTATAACTTCATCTCCCCAAGAACAGTCTACAGACGGCGTCCACGAAACAATTCCAGAAGAACAGGAAAAAATTTCTACGAAATTGCCAGAAATCAAAGATTCGAAATATGACGAACTGACAGATAAACCAAAATCAAGCACAAGTGCTTATGAATTTACAACACCTGCTGCTGACGAAGTGAGTACAAAAATAACAGAGATTTCACCTGGATTGCCTGATGAAGAAATTCTTAAGACGGAAGCTGAAGACATAACCACATCCAAATACGATATCAGTAAAACTACGCCATATGTAGTCGAGTTAGAGGAGCACACACATAAAACTATAGAGGAAACTTCAACAACTTTGCCTGAAGACTTAGAAAGTGAAAGCAAACCAACAGAAAGTCACGTAGATTTGTCAACGGAAAAAGACATTATTACAGAAGGTGCAGACTTTTTAGAAAATAAGAAAGACCAATCCTCTACCAGTTTGCCAAGCGATGAAATAACTAAACAATCAGATCAAGAATTAGAAAAATCTACACCCTCTTTCTTACCATCGGAAGACATTATGTCACAAACAACAACTCCTGCATCTGAAATCTCTGCTGACAAACACGATGATATGCCTTCTGTACCCACACAGCCTCAGGAAAATGTACCGCCGACGTCTGAATTAGTAACACCGCTTCCAGAAATAAAAATACCGGTTCAGACTGAAAAAACTCCATCTTCAGATGTTAGGATACCGGAACAGGAAATTTTACCCATCACAAGCAAAACTACAACATCAAAAGCAGAGGAAGACATCTCGACACCCTCTCCAATATCCAAACCGGAAGAAAGACCTGCAGAACCTCTGCCTCCAAGTGATATCCCAGAAACTCCAAAACCTGGATTTAATGAAATTTTACCGACTGACGAAATTCCAGAAGAAGAAGGTCACTTCCCACCAAGTGGTGGCTATGGCCAAGAGCCTGATTATGTAGAAGAAGATCAAGCGTTTGGTCCTGGAACTTGTCGCTATGGAGGGAAAGTTTACGTATCTGCTCAACAAATACCCAGAGATGATCCTTGCGACTTTTGCTTCTGTTTCAGGAGTGATATCATCTGTTTACAACAGAGTTGTCCACCCCCTATTCATGGTTGTCATGAGGAACCAATACAAGGTTTCTGCTGTCCGCGATACGAATGTCCCGTAGCTATGGCTACTTCTCTCAATGTCACAACTACTACAACAACGACAACCACGACTCTACCGCCACACTTCCTTCCCCATGCCTATAAAGGAGCAGCACAACGGAGAGGATGCCAAATAAAAGGACATACTTACAAAGTCGGAGAAGTAGTACGCGCATCATCTGGCCCATGTTTACATTGCACGTAAGTATTTACTTAACTTTTTATTTACGATTTTATATACTATGACTATAGGCATTATAGAAATAATACCGTGTCACCAAAAGAATAGTTTTGCTTAGAAAAATTACATCAACATAATTTATTATAAATCATTTTTCTATCATGGAATAAACGGTTGTAATTATTTATGTTTTCGTAAGTTTCTAAAGAATGGCATGGAATGGTAAAAGTCGACGTATTTTATTTTTGCAATGATATGTATAACAGGTATTATAAGTCGATATTTCACCATAATTTGATATCAAATTTGGATACGCAAACAAAAAATAAATCATACAAATGCGTGCGTATTATTATTATGATGTTTTAATATGTTCTGCCAACTTTTATGTTATATCTAAGCGTTTCGTTTTTAGGTGTGGAGGAGACGGACAAATGAAATGCGATCCAAAGGCATGTACCCCAGAGCCAATGTTAAGGCAAATGATTGCTGCTGCTGTATCTGCGAAACGACGAAGGTGAAATATCTCACAGGACTTAATGCAGCATTCGAACACGACATCACAAGGATAAGCACCTATGTGATAATAGTTTCCATCTTATCTTCTATGCACAAGAATAATGCTCAAATTATCCCGATGGAATAGTTTAAGATTTCGTGTCATATGTAGTAATTGATATTATATTATTATAATTTACATAGTGTCGTGGCACAACTGAATCAATCATGACTGTGATTAAAATGTAAAATTTTAATAATGATTTTCTTAAACTAAATTTATATAATGCAATTATTAGTCTTTAATTAAGACTAATTTATTTTTGTTTATATTTTTAACAAAAGTCAGTGCCAAACGATAGTGGTAAGTTGTAAACGACTATGCCTTTTGATAATGACGTTCCAAATCTTGTTAAAAAGACTTGTACTGACCGAAGCGAAGCTGTAGAATCTCAGTACATTAACATTAGAATAACGTAAGCTTCGTGGGTCAATTGATCGCCGAAATCTTGACCATATTACATGTAAAATTAATTGTTTTACCGATAAATATTTTAGTCAATGTCTTTGTTTTTACACGATGTTACAATTATTAGATCTAGTATCGTGTAAATATGAAGTAAGTTTTAAGAATCCCTGATGTTGTAAATGCCTTACTTAATTTGTAATAATTTATATATTTTAGGTGTATAGTACTTAAGCCATGTTTTGAGACCAGTGACTACTATAATTTAGAAATAAAACGAATAACGAAGGCCCTTGCATGAATAGAAAAGTGTCGGTCGACGCTTAGCCTGCGCCGGCGCTCGCCTTGGCCGATTCTTTTCCTTCATAAACGTCTTAGCGAAAACGATACCATGATTGTTTTCCTTAATTCGTGTAATACGTACAATTATTACTGACACTTGATAAAGTGAAGGGTTTGGCCTCCGTGTTCTTAATCGTTTTGTAAAAACCATTTACAATCTGATGAAAATTATATAAAACATAATGTAGAAACTTTTGTAACTTTTGATATTAAAGTGCTGGTAGACTTAAATATGTCATATGAAGCAGATCGAGATGTGTACGAAAGCCTGTTAAGCTTTTACGGCCGCTTATAAATATTGGTGCACGAACGAGCGGTCGCATTAATTCGTACAAATCTTGTTCTGTATATACTGGTTGTAGTTATATTTCTTTTTATTTATTTAAAGTTGTAGCAATAGATTATATAATAATTGGTTTTAAATCATGATGATGTAACTCATGCGATAACACAAAAAAAATCCAAGTCGATGTACGCAATAATTAAAATTGTCTATGTCAAAACTTATTTTACTTGTTTAATTATATTTTACCGAGTCTAGCTATTTTCTAGCTGTCTGTGCAAATGAGTTTAAAAATAAAATATTCCAAATGAAATGTGTACATTCATTTTACTTTTTTATGTAAATATATAATAGCCAATAAGCAGGTATTTCGTTGAGTAAATACTTCAAGATTATCTTACCCAAATATAGAAGAAAGTAACCAAATATAGAATATTAACTCTAAAATGGAATGCTGAAATTACTTTTTAAAGTATTCTTTATGGAAAAAAATTATAAACTTTATCATGAGCAGAGGGCAGTTTGTTAGACCTACTGTTTTACAATTTTTTCCATATTAATTAGTAACAATTTAATAAAGAATTTTATAGTATTCCATATCATATATACTTTATATATTCTATTTTATCCTCCCGTGTGGAGGTATCAAGTTTAAAATAAAACTCCGGTCTACAGTCCCTTTGACCATGTTAAAAAATGAAGATTCTAAATTAATGTAAGAACGGCCGTTTATGCCACAAAGCATTATCAACACTATCAAGAGAATCAAAATTGATAGTGTGAATTCCGTTGATCTACGAGTAAAACAATGAGTTTTTTTTTTCAAGTAACATCGTCGAATCGAAAACTTAAAAACAAAGATTTATTTGTAATTCAATTTTTAAATATATAATCTTAAAGGAAGCTGAAATTTAAAATTGAAGTTACAAGGTTAAGTGGAATATTATATGACAGGTGATGTAAATATTTATAAACATATTTAATATTAAAAAATATTATATATTACCTTATAATATTATATTACATATTCCGAGTCACGAAAATCACAAGAAAAGCAATTTATTTTATAATTATAATATTGAAAAATATTTAAAATTTTATACTTACACAATCTGATTTTATAATTAGGCTTTTGCTACGAATAGATAATATAACATCCACGTTTTTATTATTTTCCTTTTTAATTTTTTTTCTCATGTGTAATTCGCAAAATTTTTTTGTACAATAGACTCTTAATATACCTACCTATTTTGACAAATTTAATCCAGATTCCTTAATACTTATGAGTTATTAGCAAAATTACATACGGATTATTTATATATATATATATGTTTCATATATTATCCTATGGGTAGAGTCATGGCTATAGAGTTAGCCGGTCGAACTCTTGTTTTAATTCGTGTTATTATGGGTTTCGAAAAATACATATATTTTGTTTTCTGAGCACGAACCATTGATACAGAAAGTGATAGATATAAGTAATATGTCGCGCTTCGAATTCAGTGCTACGGTACACTTCTATGGATGGAATCGAATATAATAGGGACAACGAGTAAAGTGCGCATTGGCGGGAGTTAAAAACTACAGATGCAGCCGGGACCCATGGCCTATAGTGCCGTCCAAAGCATAGAACTCGAGATAATAAATTTTTCGTCATCCTTTTTCCATTGGCTCTTGCGACATTTGCTTAACGCTAACCACTACGCCGAACTCTTCCTTGAAGGACACTAATGAAATGATATTACAACACTTGTCTGGATATATTATATGTGATACTGCATGCACTGTATGGAACTGAATATGCAATATTATGTAGACCAAATTTTATCAAAGAATATAAATTGAAAATAGTTGTGATAATATGAAATAGAATGTTGCCACCTCACTCTGTGTTCCAATTTCCAAAGGTCCAAAGGTAAATTAGAAAATAATAAAAAATCTCAAATATATTTTTCTATAATCTTGATATAAATAACTAAGCTACTATCGCCGAATAAAACCCACTGCTTTTTTACAATTGTAGTGTTAAAAAGTCAACCTGAATTCGTCTTAATTGCAGTCGATAACGAATCCCGGGTCCTTCCCTCATCGGAAGGTACTTGCAGCGTGTTTTAAGAGACAGGCCGGTCTCGCTTAAGCTTGTTCTTTTCAGGACGGGTGCGAAGTCGGAGAGCACTGGATTAAGGGTTAAGGTTGTAATGTCCACTGAGTAAAAAAAAATTTAGCACAGAGAGATCAAACATCATCACCTTATTCGTCCCCACTGCATGGGTCTTCCTTATGGATGGTTAAGGAGGTTGGGTCATGACATGCTGGCCCGATATGGAGGGTATTAACGACTGCAAATGCAGCCGGGATGCCTTCCGAAGTTCGGAGTAGCTCGAGATAATAACTTTTTGGTCATAACATCACACATACTCTGCCTTATTTTATTAGGTGACAGCAGGGCTTGAAACCGGTTCAGAATAAATCGTTTTTATTTAGGTGAAATCAGTTCTCTTATAATGTTTCGTTCCGGATCGGAACTAAATGCGGAGTGAAATTCGGATGGAATAAAAACCGGCTAATTCACTTGGATCGTAAAAAGTTATGTTCTTACGCTTTTAATGCGAATTATATCATTTTTAAGCGACGAGATTTATCATACCTGTGTACGGATGTTATATGTAGGAGTATAGGCACTTAAAAACCGCGCTGAAGTTTGTGAGATCATTGGCTGGAGTCATATTTAAACCGGTTAATGAAGAAAACCGTATTTCTAGTGAACCGGTTTAAAAACCTGTTCAAAGGAGCTGAACCTTTTATTTAAAGTTCCGTATGTACTTACGTCGAACCGGTTAAAAAAATAAACCGGTTTCCAAGCCCTGGGTGACAGCACATTATTTATCATAGCTCTCCTGATATACGAGGCCTTAAAAGAAAGTACTTATAACACAAATGATGCTTTACCTTTGAAATGCAGAAGAATCGATAAAACAAAATATTTTTTTAAAAAAGAAATTAAACAACATTGTAATGTTGTTTAATTTGCTAATGCTAAGATATCAAGATGAGTAGCTAGAACTCCCGAATGAAGTATCTGAGACAACGAAAGCGACACCAGCATGCAAAACAGTTCAGTGGATGTCTTCATAAGAAGACTATGTTATTTTAAATCTAATGCCTTTGTTCTGTTTTTTAAACAATAGATATAACAACCTACCCAAGATCTTATGAGATCTAGAATTTTCATAAACATGTAAGACGAGTGTTATTTTAAACAAATTTGAACCGGTTTTATTTTATTTAAAAAAAATGTTTGCAATTGTGTATATAAAAATTTGATGTTAACTCAACAAAAATGATGAGAAAGCATTTGTGATCTTTGTTTTCTTCGATGATATAAATATGTCATGGACAAATGTTTTTGTGATTTGGTAGAACGCTTCCAATAATTTTGTTATAAAAACTAAACAACTAATGTGATCTTGATAAATTTGTATACCACCACCACCTCAGGTCCAATAAGCTTGTGATGGTGCTTCGTACCACACCGTTTATTTTGTCCTAGGTTTTGGCAACCAAACTTTTTGGCATTAATCTTTAACATCGTTTCTTTTATAATATATTGCTCATTTTTCTTAATTTAAAATATTGAGTAACACGAGGTGTTCTTTCTGATTGTACAATTCTTCTACCAGTACCGGCATAATATGATATGATTATATAAAATTTATAAAATGAAGTATGTTTAAACTGATATATTTTAAAATAAATAGTTAATGTATTAATAAGAACTACAAAGAAAACCCAGAAACGGGGTATGTAATTGTTTTATAAGCAGTTAAGAAAATACGTACATAACAAACTGTTTTTATATTCTTCATTTTTTATTACAGTTTTTTTGTTTATCCATAAATTTACCTACTTATCAAACCTAGTCAGCCGTTTCATTTTCTACCAACACCTAAACACCGAACCCGTCACAAGCTTTCGAATAAGAAAAGTATTTTGAAAATCGGTCTTAAATTCACGAAGATATCCGAAAAGATACATTATAAAACTACATACCCGTCGATTTTTTTTCTATGAAGGTTCTATGACCTCTTCATCTTAGATTTTGAATTCTGCTTAAATTAAATAGTGTTAATTTATTGTTGTGTTTGTTCTTCTTTTACGCTGCAACGCAGCATCGTCATAGATAGATTTTTATTTTGGAAATAATTGGAGGCTAGAGATAAAGGCTGCTTTATTCAGCGATAAACTCTTATCCTCATGGGAAGATACGCTCCTATCTTAAACACAACACATTACCCTATTCTAATAGTGTAGTAGTACAATATTATAGATGGTGTTAATGCATTTATTTTGTTATTTATTATGTTAGTTAAATTTTGTTCGGTTGCCTGTCTACTTAAATATAATTTATTAAGATATAAAACTACATAAGTAAATAAATACAATGATATTAAAAAACTCTATTTAAATAAAATAAAATAATGTAGAGTTAGACTCTCTAAATGAGCTCTGAATATTTTTTTAACAGTGCGATGAGACCATTTGATCTTAGGACAATATAGAAAAATAAGTTTTCCACATTGATTCGACCGGGAATAGAACCTAGGAACCTCAGAAAGCCATAAAAATGTTTGGGATAACTAAAATACAGAATAAGACTCCAATTTTAGGTAAATCTGTACATTACATTTTCATTCATCATTTGAAGCATTTGGTATATAAACATAGAACGCTACTCCAACGCTACTGAATATGAACTTTCCCGAGAGCTTTTGTCTTTCGTTATCATGAATCTTGTAACAACCATGTTGATACGACACACGCGCCCTCAACATAATGTGGCAGCCAGAAGAACTACTTCAATAGCAACATATTCAAAAGCATTCCAGTCCAGCTAAAAAATATTTCTACACTTCCCGTAGTAAAGCTTCTAAAGCTTTCTAATAGATGTCGCTAGACTTAATCTTGTTCTAATCTGAGAAAATAATGTTATTACTAAATATTCTACATAGCATTATTTTTTTTAATGTTGTTTATGAGAAACATCCTGAAAATATTTTAAACAGAATTAAATATTTCTTTTTTACAAATTTCTTCGTAAATATTGAATGTGTACATACAATATATCTACATAAACTTACATACTATATAATAATATAAAGAAAATACAATTTTCTTTGATAAGTTTTTTTTTATTATTTAGAGAAAACATGAATCATTTATTTTTTGTCGAGCACTAGGCTCTATCTTATTTTCTTCAAGGTGATAGCTAAGCCACATTGTATTGAAATAATATTAGGAATTTCAAATAAATCAAAACGTTCATCATCCAAAATTAGAAAAATCTTAAACTACCTGCACAACCTACATATTCAAACAGTGTAAATACCTGTTCTTGGAGTTGCTCCTGCAACTCTCTTCAACTTTTCTACTTTTTGTTTCGTAATCATAACATGGGAATGCCATTTAAATCTGACAGACATGGCTTTATTAAGAGTTATTATGTTTAACTAACAGTCACGTACTTTTCAAGCCGGATTGAAAGAAAAATTCTAAATATACATATTATTAAATATAAATACGAGTATTTCGTTACTTTACTCAATTGTACACAACATTGTACGAGTTGATGATAATATTATCTACTTTTACCTTATATAAAAAATTGTTGACAGATCGCCTCGGTTTTTTAGTAGTTTTGCTTTTTTAACATTACAGTCATTTATACACCTTGTCGTATCTTGATTGTAAAGTACGATAACAGCACAGCGTATTTAATAATAATAAATATAAACATAGAGAATTTTTTTTAGATATTTTAATTCATAATCATAAAACTTCGTCTTCTGGCATTTAAAAAGCTATTTGGATATATCTTACGATCATAATTTAATATAGATAGCTTCTCATTATTCTGTGGTGCTTACAAATACGTTAAAAATGATTTCAGTATTATCTTTTTGAAAAATTCTATTGATACTACTTTTTTTTAAATATGGTCTTTACTTAATACACCGTAACCCTAAAATTATGTATTTTACTTATTAACCTTATGTCGTAAGATATTCGGTGAAAATTTTCATTACTATAAATTCCGAACAGAGTTTTTATAACAATATTGTCATATCCATACTTATCTCGTCAAGCTATTTGTTACCTATGTAGAAATATGTACCCTCAATTTGAATAACTTCCTCTCACTCACGCCAATACACCGTCGCGTCTACTGTCTCATTCTATCCCATTACTTTTATATTGTTCGCTAACTTTCTTGTTTGTATAAGCAAATACACGTATTTGAAAGTTTGTATATTTGTAGGTTGTATTGTACAGTAATAAATAAGCATCTATAGACACTTTTGTAGAGTCTTAAGAGGTTCCAACATTTTATTAGATTATTCAGTATCTTTCGTATACTTTAAGACAAGTTTGTGAATATTTCATAACAAACTCGGCTCTCGTTTTGTTTGTATTCTAATTGTGATTCGTTTTTAATTAAAAAGTATATTTTTATCTGAAGTCTTTTTTGT